TCATGTGCTCATGTGCTCATGTGCTCATGTGCTCATGTGCTCATGTGCTCATGTGCTCATGTGCTCATGTGCTCATGTGCTCATGTGCCTCATGTGCTCATGTGCTCATGTGCTCATGTGCTCATGTGCTCATGTGCTCATGTGCTCATGTGCTCATGTGCTCATGTGCTCATGTGCTCATGTGCTCATGTGCTCATGTGCTCATGTGCTCATGTGCTCATGTGCTCATGTGCTCATGTGCTCATGTGCTCATGTGCTCATGTGCTCATGTGCTCATGTGCTCATGTGCTCATGTGCTCATGTGCTCATGTGGTTCCTCCTTGGAGAGCATAGTGAGCACTTGCACCATGCTGCCTGCCACGCCGCCTGCCATGCCGCCTGAGTTCCTCTGTCACTCCACCGCACTTGTGAGTGCGTGCAGATGTCATCGCTGGAGGGCAGTGGCATACAGGACGAGATAGACTTCGAGTGGCTGGGCAAGAACAAGTCGATCGTGCAGACCAACTTCTACGTGGGCGGGGTGGGCGGGCGGGAGAAGATCGTGGACCTGGGCTTTGACTGCTCACAGGCCTTCCATAACTACGCCATCCTCTGGACGCCCTCGCAGCTCGTGTACGTCCCTGCCTTGCCACGCCAGGCCATGCCATGCCCTGTACAGCCCCTTGTGTGTAGCGGGCCTCTTTCGTGTGGCCCCTCACGGCTCGCAGTGGCCCCTCGTTCTGAACGCCCTTGCAACTTGTGTGCCTGCATGGCCGTGTGCTGCTGCCACATGCTGCATTGCACCTCTCCATGGCCTCTCAATGAAGTCCCTGCCCCCACATCTACACAATGCATGCACTGCTTACCTGCACTGCACTACTGACACCTCCCCTGTTCCTGCGCCCTTCCCCGCCCCTGCCGTTCCCTCCTGCTTCTCCCATTCCCTCCCCTCTTTCTCCGCCTCTTCCTGTCTGCCGTATGCCCTCCCACCATGCACCACACCAGCTGGTTCATAGACTACAAGGCAGTGCGTGTCGAGTACAACGCCTCCTCCGTTCTCCCCCCCGCCAAGCGCAGCAAGCCGGGCGCACCCGTGCCGTCCAAAGCATACCCCTCCAAGCCGGCCTTCTTTTACGCCAGCATGTGGGATGCCAGCAGTGCAGGCAACGGGTGGTGGGCGGGCAATAGAAGTGCGTCCACTGTGAACAACCCCAACTGGGCCATCTTTGCCCGGTATAAGAACCTGCGAGTGCTCTCGCCTGTGTTGTCGCGATGAGTTGACGGCACATGGACTGTGGCTGGTGTTGCAGCTAGTTGGGTACCTTTGGTTTGATTGCCAGGTTGGTGTTTGTTCTGGTCTGGACCCAGCCGTGTATGGCTTATGCGTGTCTGTTGTATCATGTATCATCTGCCATGTTGTGTAATTATTTTGTTCATAAAAAAACATTTCCACCAACATGTGTCATCTTTGGACCATGGCTTTGTTGATCCTCTACCTTAAATGTAAGCACTGATGTCACTTTTCCTAAACGAGTATATGATACACACGTTTTTGTTGGAGGGTACCTTAGTATTAATGGAACGGCTATGTATGTATTCACGTGTGTTTATTGAAAGGGACTAATAACTGAGAAACGCCATCGGACCTTACCGCGTACATACGTCCAAAGCTCGGATCCTTTTTTTTCCCCACGGCACATTCGTTCCCGCCATTCTGTTCCCAGCAACCCAAGAGCGCTGGGACGTACCACGCACTGCACGCTTCCTCTCCGCACTCTTGTTCCGCCCTTCTCAGTTCCGCTCCGCTTCCCCCATGACTGCCAAAGCGCGCTCTGCGGCGCACTCCCCCCCCTGCCCCGTCTTCGCCAGCAGCACGCTCGAATGGACTCCGCTCGGCCGCTTCCACCGCTTCCTCGGCGCCGCCTCCCTCCCCCGCCGCATTCAGCGCTTGCGCCGCCGGCGCCACCCTGCTGCGCGCAAGGTGCTCGGCGCAAGCCGACAACGGCGCATTCCGCCCTCCTTGTCAGCTGCCGCGCGGGGAGACAACCTCCTACCCGGAGGCGCTCTGCCATCGGCGGATGATCCACAGGCGCCGCAGCAGGAGCATGAGCAGCGGCGGAGGCGCAGCGATGGGCGGCGAGTGCGGTTCGATTTGGGCGACAATGACGACGATGAAGCTAGGAAAGAGACGAACGCTGGCGACAGCAGCAGCCGGCAGCGGTTCGGGTTGGAGCGCGGCGGGCATCCGTTGGGCGTGCAACCCCTAGGGAACCTCTTCCTGCGCTCCGACCATAACCCCCTTAAACCCCTCCGCAACGCGCGCGACGCGGGGCTCGGCGCACTGCGGCGCCTGCCGGACCCAATCCTGCTGGACATCGTGGGGCGGCTGCCCGCCGAGTCGCTGTGCCACGTGGGCATGGCGAGCCGCGCGCTGCACGTGGTGGCGCACCAGGAGGAGCTGTGGCGCGCGCTGGTGCTGGAATCCGCGGAAGGCGGGTTCGAATGGGAGGCGAGCTGGCGGTGGACTTACGTGAAATGGCGCATGGGCGCACGGGCGCAGGCGGAGGGAGAGGGGGAGGGGAAGGGAGGGGAAGCAAGCAGGGAAGGGAAGGGCGTGAAACGGAAGGAGAAGCATGGGGAGGAGCGCGGGGTGTTGCAGTACCGACCGCCATTGAAGGTGCGCCTCGCTGACCAGAACCTGATTCTCTTCCACCCACCAAACCACCCCCGTTTTCTACCTTCAGTCCAAGACAGAGTTCTGTCACATTCACTGCAAAACCCAGAGCCTCTGTCATTGCCCTCGTACCCTCTCCGTCCACCTCCATTTTCCCCCGTGATCCCCCCTCCGCACCCTCTCAGGGCCCTTGCACCAACTCACCACAACTCGCCCCCATATCCCACCCATCTCTATTCAACACCCCTCACCCCTTTGAACCCTTAACCCCAAACCCCTTCCCCCTCGCCTCCCCCTCTCAGGTACCGGACTTCTATTCGGACTATTTCTTCCAGAGCTGGCTCTGCACCAGCCTCGCCCTGCCGCCCGCCTGGACCACCCACGACAACATCCCGCGCGTCGCCGCCACCTCCCTCTCGCCCGCCGACTTCGCCGCCCGCTTCGAGCGCCCCGGGCGGCCGGTGATCATCACAGGCGCCATCAACCACTGGCCGGCGTTGTCCCGGTGGCAGGACCGTGCGTACCTGTGTGGCGCAGCGGGCGACAGTGCGTTTGCGTGCGGGCCGGTGGAGCTGAGCTTGGATCAGTACTGGCGGTATGCGGATGGAGTGCAGGAGGAGCGGCCGCTGTACGTGTTTGACCCGCGGTTTGGGGAAAAGGCGCCTGCTCTGTTGGGAGACTATGAGGTGCCCGAGTACTTCCGAGAGGACCTCTTCCAAGTGCTGGACCTGGGGACGGGTGGTGGGGAGAATGGAGGGGAGAACGGGGGTGAGCGGGGCGCGGGTGGAGCTGGGGGAGAAGGGGGAGATGGGGGTGAGGGGAGTGCGGGCGGGAGGGGAAAAACGGGGGAAACTGGTGAAGTGGAGGTGGGTGCAGGAGAGGGAGAGGGAGAGGGAGAGGGGCAAGGGAAGAAGGAGGAGACGAGTGGGCGACCTGATTTTCGGTGGCTGATCATGGGCCCTGCCCGGGCGGGGTCATCATGGCACATAGACCCCAACTCCACGTGCGCCTGGAACGCCGTCATCACCGGCTCCAAGAAGTGGATCCTCTTCCCGCCCAACGAGGGCCCGCCACCTGGCGTGCGTGCGAGCCCCGATGGTGCTGACGTGGCGGCGCCGGTGTCGATCACGGAGTGGTTTATGAATTACTACGAGGAGATGCGGCGGGGGCCGGTGACGGCGTATGAGGGCGTGTGTGCGGCGGGCGAGGTGATGTTTGTGCCGCATGGATGGTGGCACATCGTGCTCAACCTGGAGGAGTCCATTGCTCTCACTCAGAACTATGTCTCCAGGTGGGCACGCAAGAGAGCGTCTCTTGTCGCTCACACATGCACACACATGCATGCCCTCATCTTCTTTCCACCCATCGCTTTTCTGTCACCTGCCTTGTCCCCATCGCTGCACTCCTCCCCTTCCAATCCAAGCCATGATTTCCCAGTCTCAACCTCTCTCCTCCCCTTGGCCCCCTCCCCCTCTTCGCCCTCTCCCCTCTCTCCCTTCCCCCTCACACCGCATCCCCCAGCGCGAACCTGTTGGATGTGATGCGGTTCCTGCAGCGGCCCAATGCGCGTGTACTGGTGTCAGGCATGGGCGAGGGGCAGCGCGAGGGGCTGCACGACCGCTTCCGTGAGTGCCTGGCGGTGCACCGCCCAGGGCTGCTGGAGAGGGAGGAGAGGGACGAGGAGGAGCGCGAGCTCAGACGCAAGCAGAAGGCTGCTTTCTGGGAGCAAGCAGCTAATGCGGGTGATGGGGGGTTCAGATTTGGATTTTAGAATGGTGTGCTGGTTTGCTGTTGAGATTAGAGACTTGGTGAAGGAGAAGCAGGACAGAGAAGGTGCTTGAATTGATTAGTTTAGATGTGTTACTTGCTTAGTATATACCATGTATGTCCCCACTGTCGCTGCAATGGAGCTCGTCGTGTAAGTGCAGATTATGGTACCGCAAGTTATAAGCAGCATTTTTTTGGAGCATCAAATCCATGAGTAATAAAACCGTGGTGCAACGAAATGGGTGATAAGTGAACGAAGTCACATCCAAAGGTCAGCAGAAGCAAGAAACGTCCAAAGGTATGCTAATGATATTATCAAACTGCAGCGGGTAACCCGCTTAAGATGAGTGCACGGTCTAAGCCATGTGCTCCACAGCCCACAGCTGCTTTAGTCACATGCTCTCCATGCACCTCTGATTAGTCACTAGTCAAGCACGACAAATGGCAGCACAGGGGAACAACCAGGCAACAGAGCACACCAACAGCAGCAACTCAAAGCAGCAGTGCACCAAGTAAGCAAGCAAGCAAAGGGTGCGAGGGAACGGAAGCAATGGCAACACTCCCTTCCGAAGCACGCAAGCTAAGCGGCGCCAGGAGGAGCGGCAGCAGGCGGGGCAGCAGCACTGTAATCATACCCTCCCTGCGCACCACCCTCCGCTCCACCATACCCCTGCCCTGCCGCCTGCTGCCCCCCCGCCGGGGGCTGCTGCTGCTGCTGCTGCCCATACGCATCCTGCCCTCCCTGCGCCTGCTGCCCCTGCCCGTAGTAATCATACCCGCCCTGCTGCGCACCATACCCTGGCTGGGCATACCCCTGCTGCCCATACCCCTGCTGATCATACCCCTGCTGCTGAGGATACCCCCCCGGTGCTGCTGCATACCCCGCAGGAGGCGCCTGCTGCCCCTGCTGCTGCGGGTACCCCTGCTGGTATCCCCCATAGTACCCCGCCTGCCCGCCCTGCTGAGCGCCATACGCGTACCCCCCGTCCCCAGCAGGGGGGGGGCGCCTGTGCGCCCTGCCCATAGTAATCGTACCCTCCCCCTGCTGGTGCGCCTCCTGCTGGCTGCGCGGGTGGCTGTGCGGCTGGCGGCTGCTGCGCTGGCGGGGCAGGCGGGGGCTGCTGCCCCCCTGGTGGTGCGCCCGCGCCCCACCCCCCCTGCTGCTGGTACTCCCCGCCTCCTCCCGCCTGCGCCCCGTATCCCCCCCCGTAGCCCTGCCCTTGCCCGTACTGCTGCGGCGGCCCCCCGTACTGCCCCTGGCTGTACCCTCCCCCGTATCCCCCGCCCTGCTGCGGCTGCTGCCCCGGGGGCGGCTGCTGGTATCCTCCGCCGCCCCCTCCGCCCTGCCAACCGCCCGGGCCCGAGCGGTAACCCCCCTGCTGCCCCCCGTACCCTCCGCCGCCTCCCCCTCCGCCACCACCGGGACCTGACCTTCGAGGCTGCATTGCCAAGGACGCGCGGGGGGGAGAGAGGGTGGACGAGCGGCGAGGGCACGAGGGCAAGCGAGCAAGAGAAGAGGCAAGAGAGGAAGGCAAGAGCGGAGGGGCCGGCATACAAGAAGCATACAACAGCAAGGGGAGTGGGGGAGGAAGGAGAAGGAGGAGCGGGGCGAAGGGAGAGACCGAAAGGAGGGAGGGCAGGACGAGCACAAGCACAGGCATGCAAGCAAGCAAGATGGGGGGGACAAGGGCAAGGCAAGGAGCGAGAGAATGCAGGAGAGCCGGGAAGGGTGGGAGGGGAACGGGGGAGCACACAAGGCAAACAAGAGACGCAGAAAGGCAGAAAATTTGGATGAAAGGCATGATCGATAATGATAGGCTCGCATGGCACTCAGATGGATCACGTCATGGGGGCGAGGGGGAGATGGGGACGGGGGGGAGGGGAAGGGGGGGAAAGTGGAGGGGAGATGTAAGGGAGGTACGTACAGGGAGGCGGAGAGGGGCGGACGGAAGTCAGAGAGGGTGGGGCAACACAGCTTTTCAGCTCGACAGAGGGAGAGAAAGAGAGTCAGGACAGCAGGTGTCAACGAGACACAAGAATTCCGTAACACCACGCAATGCGAGTACGATGAGCAGCACGAGCATGAGCGAGTAACGACGGCCACGGGAGGCGAGCACGAGAGGTGTAACGACCAAGTCCATCTCAAGAGACGAGAAGCGCGTAAGGAAGGCTAACCACGAAGTCCAAGCAAGAGAGCGCGATAGATGCAAAGGCGGAGAGGCTCTGAAAGGGAAAGAGGCGCGCAGGCAGGCGGGGGGCGAGGCGTGCGAGGCCCGCAGAGGGCTGGGCTGGTGTGGTCTGGTGCGGTTTGATGTGGTGCGCAGGGCAACTGAAGGAGCAGCGCCGCGCGGCACGCAGTGACGCGCGGAGAGGGCGAGTGGCGTGGCGCGCTGAGTGCGTCCCCTGCGCTGCTGTGCTCTGCACACTAGCGACACCCACGCAGCCAGCCGTGTGGAGTGGAATCACACAGGGTGAGACGACTCTGGGCATCGCATCACATCGCATGGCATGGCATGGCACGGGATAGCACGGCACTGCATTGCATTGCATCGAACCACACGGCACAGCATTGCAAGGAAGTGCAGAGTACTGGCATTGGTATCAGGATTGTGAAGGCATCGTGAGCAGAGGTCACAGTAGAAGCGAGTCACCACAACAGAGCTACGCTTTGCATTTTGCACGAAACGGGAAGCTGATTGGGCCGCAATTGGAAGCAGCGTACATGCAGCGAGCGGGAACCGACGAGACTCGCATACACCAACGCGCCAAGAGACACGCATGACTGAGCGGTGTGGAATACAAGTCCCATAACACGCCTGTTAACGTTTCCAACCGTCACCGGCAATAGAGACAGCGGTGGTGACGATGCATGCAGAATCCACAGCACGCGCAACAGAGAGGACTCACAAAGCAAGATTGTGATGGAGAGCTAGACAGAGAGAGGGGGCGGCAACAAACAGCGACCGGAGAACGACAAGAGACGCCAAGGTACCGCACGCAAAGAACCACCCCATGTGCTCCAGAACGACGGGCCGAGGGGAGGAAGAGGGGAGAGGAGCGGGGAGGGAGGGGGAGGTGGAGTGGGGGGTGTGAAGGAAAGGCGGGAGAAGAGGGGGAAAAGAGGGTGCGCGAGGGAGGGGAAGGGGGGGAGCGGCAACTTACGTCGTCGAGGACCTCTTTGATGAGGTCCTGCGCCATGTCCGTCTGCGCCTTGCTGCCCATCAGCATCACGTTGCGCTCCGTGCACCCCGGCTCCACCTCGCGATCGCTCTGCACCTGCACGCACCGCCCACGCGCCACGGTGTCGGTGTGGGGGATTGGAGGGATTGGGGGGGGAAGGGGAGGACGGAGGCAAGTGTGAGGAAGGAACAGGCGCGACGAGCGTCGACGGAAGGGAAACGGAAACGGACGGTGTGGAGGGGGGGATAGTCGGAGCGCGGCGAAGGGAGTGAAACGAAATTGAAAGAAAGGTGTGCCACGTGGTGTGCATGCAGTGTGACACGTCAGCAGCAGAGAGAACGCGGGCATCGATACCTGAATCCTTGCACCGGAGCGCGCCTGAAGGCTCTTAATCGTCTCTCCACCTCGACCAATCATGAGGCCGACCTGAAACAACCGCACGGAGGAGGCAACGCGCAGGGTACACGGCATTATGGAAATTAAAAGTTAGGTCTCAAAAAACAGGCGAACACAATGATAAAAAAAAGGATCCTAAGTGGGACGCGAATAGATTAAGGCGCTCATAAGGCGCACCTTGTTGTTGGGGATCTTAATCGTCACCGTCTCCCCTCCACCCTGTGCTCCAGGGTACGATCCCCCTCCGCCTCCTCCGCCTCCTCCACCACCTCCACCTCCTGCCGCTCTGGCCGCGGCTGACTGCGCAGAGCAGAAACGGGGCGAGCATGACGTTAATGCGATGAATAAGGGCCGGTCGAACGAGTCAGTCAGAGTTAAGAAATAAAAAAAGCGAGGAGAGTGAGAAAAGGGAGGATGGGAGTGGGGGAATCGGAAGGGGAACGGACGGGGGAAAAAACAAAAAAAGAATTGGCGGACGCGAAAAGGGGAGCGAGAGGGGGGAGCATTGAGGGCGCGGACCTCTTCGAGCACTTGCTTAATGAGTTGCTCCGCCTGCGCGATTTGCTCCGCCGTGCCCGTGAGCTCCACGGGGCGCGTGGGCGCGCGCGGGTCCGCCTCCATGTCGCGCGTGACCTGGATCTTGGCGCCCGACTGCGCCTGCAGGTACTTGATCGTCTCGCCGCCCTTGCCGATGATCAGCCCCACCTGTTACAGCGCGATTGCATCGCCATGTGCACGCGGGTGGTACCATCGGGGGTGGCGTACGCAATCAAGAAGCGGGGGACCGACCGATCCGAGAATGAGATTAAGAACTTGTATTTTTTAAAGTAAGAACTTACGATAGATGGTCTTATGGCGGGGACCTTAAACAATTGGCTTGCGACAGATCAAATGAGGAAAATATCTGGCACGTAAGCAGGAGCTGAGCCAGCTCCACATAAGCAACTCACCCGCGTGTTCGGCACGTCGATCTTCTTTGACTGCGTAGCGGCGCCGCCCTGTTGATCGTAGTAAGGCGCGGCGCCCCCCGGCTGCGGCTGCTGGTAGTACGGCGGCGGCTGGCTCTGCTGCTGCGCGCCAGCGCCATAGCCTGCACGCACAACACATCCTTCCATCAGCACATCGGGCAAATCACGCTGTTTTGTTTTCTTATTTTTCAGAAAAAAAAATGCTGGTGAAAATACGCCTGAGAATAAAATGTAGGAGTTATAGGCGATTTAAAAGGTTGTTACCAGGCGGACCTTGCGATCCGGGAGGACCGGGCGCGAAGCTCGCCACACCACCCGGCGGGCCTCCGCCGTTCGCGCCGCTCACGCCGGGAGGAGCCACGGCGGCGGCAACGCCTGCGGGCGGCCCGTCGTCGAACTTGGACCGCTTCGCGCCTCCCGCGTTAAGAAACTTCTGCGCGAGCTCTTCCGCCTTGCGCTTCGCCTGATCGAAATCAGACAGCGCGATCGGTGCCCCGGTGGTCTGCGCAGCCGGGGGAGTTGTCGCGGGGGGTGCGACGGGCAGCGCTCCTGGAGCGGCAGGCGGAGCAGTCGCGGCGGCGGCCGGCGCACCAGGCGCAGAGTCTGGAGGGGTAGAAGTGGGCGCGGGTGCGTCCTGAGAGGACTGTGGAGGTGCGGTGTCAGCCATGGCGAAGATTAAAGGACGCTAAACAATGACTTCAGGAGGAACCAATAGATCGGAGCAAAAAAGAAGTTTGAGCGAGGGAGGGAAGATCGAAGAAAGGCACTAAATTGTGAGTCGTGGTGGTTGGGCGGGAAAGTGGTGGAAACCGCCTGTAGTCACTGTGCGACGTGACACTTTCGATTCGACGTTACAAATCTCTGTATCAATAAGTGAAAGGCACCTTATATTTGTTGGTTCAATACCCACAAAAATCTCATTACGCTCTCTCCCAAGTGTGTCGCAGTCTAAATCTGCTGCAATGCCACCCTCGTGCATTATAGTGCACGAGGAACAAAAATTGACATGTGCACAACCCGAGGCCCTCCAAACCAAACCGCACACCACCTTCACACCAAGACACCACACCGCAACCGCCACTGGCCCCATGTTGACCCACCCAGATCCACTCATGGGCCCCACTACCCCTCACTTTCTGCATGAGTATGAGAGTCAAACATCAAAGTCGTCAATCTCATTGCCTGTGGACGAGGCAGATGAGGTGGAGAGCGAGGGCGGGAAGTAGGGGCCTTCGCAGTCAGGAGCATAAGGATACTTCCTCCACCGGGTGGTGCACCCCACACACACCCACAGGGGGTTGTACCCTGGGTAGTCTGTGAGATGGTCCCCTCCCAGCACACACTGTGCCATGCGCATGCCTGCCACCAGCGGAGCTGATGGGAAGCCGTACACGATGGGAACAAAGCGCGACCTGCGGCACTGGGGGCACTGCGCTGCCCTCTCACTCTCCAGCCGCTGCCGAAACGCCTCCTGCCACGACAACGGTGCCGCAGTGACTGATGGCGACTGCTGCTGGTCTGGATGCAACGGACGAGCTGAAAAGAAACGAGAAGGAAAGGGAGTACAATAATTAAAACGAGGAGCACGAATAAGCCGTGGATGGGAAGGTCAAAACAAGCGGCTCTGCATCGTGTTGGTGACTTTCGTGTTACACACACTACCTGCATTTCACCACTGCTACTCACCGGCACATTCCTTCCCACATGTAAATCCACCCTGGTTGAGCCTGCTTACGTCTGTGCAACTTGGTGCCACCTTTCCACTTGTGCAGTCTCTTGCCCACTCTCCCTCTCTCACCTGAGGTATCTCCACCGCTGCTGTCATCTCCCTGTGCTAGATCGGCTCCCTCATGCACTTGCTCATCCGTCCTCTGCTGCTCCACTGCGCTTCTGCTGCTAGTAACCGTCCTGCTCTCTTTCTGCTCCTGCTCCGGTTTCTGCTGCTCCTGCTCCTGCTGCTCCTGCTCTTGCTCCAGCTGTTGCTCTTGCTGTTGCTGCCGCCGCTGCTGCATAATAGCTTGAGTGGCAGAGTGCCCCCATCGCAGCAGAAACAGTTGCTTCCAAAGGCAATCACTGCGCGCCACTGCCTGCCACGCGGAGCACGTGAGCAGCACGGCGGCCAGGTCTTCAAACGCCAGCCGAGCAAACACCGACTCCAAGATCCCTTCAGGCACACTCTCCCACTCCGCCGCCCCCACGCCGTCCACTTCGCCTTGCCCCTCCGCCTTCCCTTCCCCATGCCGCTCCGCTGCGCCCTGGCGCTCTTTCTCTGCGTCATCCGCGCCTCCCTCGTCCGCCTGCTCCTGCAGCTGGGGCATCAGCGCTACCGCCTGCTGCCTGCCGCCTACTGCTGTCAGCCGATCAGCACTCTCTAGAACCGCTACCCCTCCTTCCGCCAACATTCCTGGCGACACCGGCGATAACAATCCAGGCAATACCTGCGACACAGACTTGACGCTCGAAGCGGCAGAGGTCAGCGCACACAACCCTCCTCCCCGCGCGTTCCACTTCTTCCGCCGCACCTGCTTTCCTCCCTGCGGCGGACACCTCGTCGCAGCCCGTGAGCGCTGCATCTGGAGTGCCAGCCACGACCGTGGTACCGTACGCGGACAGCGACGAGAGAATGCATGCGCACGGTCGCGGACGGCTGCTTGCGCCGGCGGAAGGGGGAGGAGAGGCGGCGGAACATGTGAGGTCTCTACTGTCCGCCTCTAAAGACATCGGTCTGCGCGCTGCGACGGCTGCTTCTGCGTGCGGGATTCCTTGCCTCGACGACTCTGCGTCGACAGGAGATGCGACGCCGTGCGCAGCGGCAACCGGTAACTCGGCGCGAGCCCTAATCTGCGGGTCTAGGGTTGGCCAAGTTGACCGGTCCGCGCACGGCGAGCCTGCTAATACCGTCGCTCCTTCTAATCCATCAACTACAGTTCCCGTGACAGGACCTTCAGCCCTTTCAGGTGCCGCAAACCCCGCATCTCCCGATACGCTTGCGGAATCTGCTGCATCCGCTCTCCTCCCGCGCGCGGAGCTCTCGATGGAAGAAGCCGATCGGTACGAATCGCGCGGTACGGGCCGAGGAGCGAAATCCGGGCAGGATGAGCCGGACATGAGCTCTTCGCGTAGGTAGCGGTTGACCGCCCAGTGGACCTTACCGCGCACGGCGCGCAGGTGGTTCAGGAGACGGGATGTGGACGCAAAGGGGCCGAGCAAGGAGCGCATTTGACGGAGCAGCTCCGCCTCGCCGACGACACGGTCCACGGGCGCTGCGAAGCGTGAGGTGCGCGCTGCTGGCATGATGAAGGGCTCGTTAAAGAGTGGCGGAGGAAGCGGCGATGCTAACTCAGCAGGCGGCAACGGCAACGGTGACAGGGGTGCAGAGCTTGACGACGGATGCTCCTGAGACGCCATTAGGTTTCTTGTCAGAGATTACTTTTACGTCCAGACCAGACCTAATCCACAAGCTCAGAACTAAACAAGCTGTGCTAAGCTATAGAACTTCGGTGAAGGGAGATGGCCGATTTTAGATGGAATGGCTGTGGTGATCATTCCAAAAAATACACATCAGCAGCAAGAAGAGCAGAGCTGCAGCAGTGGTGAGAGGAAGGAGGGATATGAGGTGATGTGGATGGGGAGGCATGACATCACGGGTAGAGGCATCGTCGAGCGATGTGCGACGACAGTGGGGTCGCACGGGCAAAACATCCCGCGTCTGTGTGAAAAGCGGCAACCTCCGGAACAATAAATAGTAAACACAAACAGTAACACAAACTCGCATCGCAACTTATCGCAGCGGCTGATATTGACGGAGCATCTCCACGACTGGTGAAGGTTGAAAGTATCAACCACACGTTCTTTACGCCACAGAGCCACCCCCCCTTGGTTCAGGTTCAGGTTTGGTTAAGGTGGAGGTTGGTAAAGGTGTTGGTGAATGTCCCTAAAAAATTTTTGGTTGGTATAGGTAGGCTCTGTGGCACTTGCACCATTGCAGCACTGTCCATTTCTGCATGCTTGGTTTACTGCTCATTACTAACCTAGTTCCTTTGATATCCTTGCAGGTTCTATTCAAGCCACGCTCCAGATGGTGTCAGAGGAGCACCTCACGGCTAAGCTCCAACTTTCAAACTTTGCAAGATAAGTTTCAATCTTGAGCCTTTTCCGTGCTTTCTCGCTCGAATGCTATTCCACTGGTAACTCCACGCTTGCTGAGTCCTTTTTTTGTCGAGTTGTGCTTCAACTCTACAGTCACTGACTTGTTTCATATTGCCTCATGGCAGGTTCTCCGAGCGCCATTAACACGCCATGGACCCCCAAGACCTTGCGCACCGCTGCACTCCAGCAAGCCCAAGATCCATGGGAGCTCCATGGCATGCTGAAGCGCCTCAACGCTCAGCACCACTCCACACTCCAAGCTGCTTAACCTCAGATAAGTTTCATCCCCTACCCTCGAGCTCCTTTTCTCATGCACATGGCTTTATTGTGTTTATTGATTTGCTTTGATGCATGCTGGTTTTTTGCCTTCTCTTTTTTATTATGGACTACTGTTTATCTTTTTTCTGCCTGCAGGTGCCTTCATGGGCGGCAAGTCCCAGTGGGTGGCAAGCCATGGCCTGCTGAAGCACCGCTCCACACTCCAAGCTGCTAACCCACAGATAAGTTTCAGCCCCTACCTTTGAGCTCTCTTATTCATGCACATGGCTTTTTTTGTTTGTTGATTTGCTTTGGTGATGCTGTAGTTTTGCTTTCTGTTTTTTATCATGGACTAATCTTTATCTTCCTTCTGCCTGCAGGTGCCTTCATGGTCGGCAAGCCTGCAAGCCATGTGGCCAGTGCACGAGAGGGTGAAGCTTTGAGCATTGGCTGGGGACTCGATTCCGGGCCAAACCGGACTGGTTCTGTCCCCTCCCGCCCCCACCAAGTGACAAAACTGTCTGGCCAGCAGTGATGTCATTTGGTGGAGGTGGGGGTGGGCAGAGCCAGTCCCTAGTAGGGCACCCGCACGTCTTGGTCCTGGCAATGCTCAAGGCTCACTGCCAGTCCATGCCAGGGTGGGCATGGATGGCATGCTGCCATGGAGTAGCTGTGGACCTGTGGTTGATAGGAATAGACAGAATTTCATTGGTTGAGTGTACCTCTGAATATTAATTCATTTTTATAAGGGTACATTCCGCTGTATAATATGTCCCAATCGATGTGTTCCAATCGATTGAGGCGCGTACGTACAGCATATGCTGCCAGGTGTCGGAATGCCGTGCCGCCCGTGGTTGTCGCCGACTGTATTTATCATTGGGTGGCGTGTATCACGGAACAATCGCCAGCTAATTAAAACACACCCAACCAATCGCACGCGGCCCCAGATGTCATCTCATGCAGCATGTATCTGGACGACATTTTTGGGCCCACTCTATCCCGATCAACGCGTACACAGCCTGCCGATTGGTCGAAACGACCTTTCCAGAATTATTGACAGGGACAACGCACCCCCCCGACATTGCGCCTTCCGCCAGTTCCAGTGCACCTCCCCCACAACTCCTCCGCCTCCCCATCCCTTACGAGGTCAAGTTTGTGCAACAGCTGCTAAGTACCAATCTGTGATTCTCTCACAGCCTCCGCTCCCTCTAGTTCTAGATCTAGACACCTTCTACCCACCAGCATGGCTCGTAAGCGTAAGGGGCAGGCCCTTAACGACTGCCCCAAGGATCTAAACGACATTCCGTACATCCGCTGGATGAACCAGCAGATCGCCAAACGGTCGCCATCCTAGGGGATTATCCGCGCCGCCCGTGCTTGACGGCCAGGGATCCACTGCCCAGTCGCCCACAGCGGCCCCGTCACGTGTGCGCCGTCAGCCTGCAAGGACGGCAGCAACGTACCGGCCAGTCGTGGAGCAATACGATGACGATGCTGACGACGACGACCGCGAAGAAGGGGATGACTCCGATGACGAGGAGGAGGAGCCTGAAGACCAGGGAATGTCGCCCAGCGACGACGACGAAGACGACGACGACGATGAGGATGCCGAGGAGGACGCCCCGGAGGAAGCACAGCCTGTCGCTTCCGCCGCCGATACGGAGCGCCGCACGCAAACAAGGGTCTGACAAGGGCAAAGGCAAGGCTGCGCAACCTGCAGCGCGCCCGGAGCCACGGAAGAAACGTGCGGCAGCACCTGTCGAGCGCGGCTTATGGTCTGACAAGGAGAGCACCATTTTCGCCGCGGCGAAATGGTTTCTTGAAAGATGAGCTCGAGCCACTCAAGGGGAAGTAGGGGACGCAATACTGGGCCCGGCTGCTTGCACACATCAAGGAGTTCGAACCCCGGATGGTGCAGGGGAGTCAACGCACTGCAGAAGCAGTGGCGTAACTTGATGCTCCTTTGGCGGGAGTACAAGCGTGCCGACGGGGGTTCGGGCAACGGCTCGGTGGAGAAACCACCATGGTATCCGTACATGGAGCTGCACAACCAAGACACTGCCGCAGCCTCACCGCATGCGGTGGACGGTGGAGGCGCGACCAACGTCAACGTGCCGGCCGGCATGGAGGTTCCAACTTCGTCCCAGCCAGGCACGTCAACGCCATGTTTTACGGGTGAGACATGATCCCGGTTCCATGTTGTTTGGTTCGCATGCTTGCCATACAACTTCTAGTTTCAAACTGCTGTTTAGACTATCGGCTAACATGCACGATACATCGTCATTGTGTGCACCTACCAATCTAAACTTCTATCTTCCCGTCTTCTCTTGTTTCTCAGCTCCGCCGCCGACGAACACTGCCACACCCAAGCGCGCCCGGGTGCATGAGACGGCTACCATGCAAGCGGCGATGTTGGTGTCCGCCACAATCAAGGACTGCCACGGTGATGCGATGAGAGTCGTTGAAGGCCTCGTCCGAGAATGGATGGCGCAAGACCTGCGACTTGCCCGCGAGCGCATGACTGAATCGGCTCCCCCGGATGTGCACCGTGCGCCGCCAGATTTCTCCCCTCCACCGCCACGCGGGGAGTCCGCGCCACCCCCCGAAGCCGCACAGCCGCGGGAAGATATGGGCGACGTCAACACCGTCACTCCGGCTGATGAGGATGTGGAGATATGGGTGCGCGGCGCCGCCGATTAGAGTAAGAGTCCTGGAGTGCCTCTTCCAGCCGTTTCCGCCTCTCCCTCAGTGCCTGTTGTGTTGGTGGGACACACGGTTCCCACTTGTGTGTCGCAATAGCTCCCCGCGTCCACCATGGATCGCGGTTGCGGGGAAGGTTCTCCCATGCCATGTTTTTGCGCCTTACCTCCTGCATCTCTTCACACATGTTGTGCAGGATCACACAACACGCGGCCCCAGCGAGAATGCGCCACAACCTGCAGTCGTTGCGCTGGGCGAAGATGCGCCATCTCCCTTTGAAGGCGCCGATGCACCTCTCCACCGCCATGCGTGTGGCGCTCTGACAGTAGTTGAAACATTGTGCCCAGTCGTCCATGAGGTCCTCTCCTCGAGGGGCATGCAGGGGTGTTAGGCAGTATTCTCGTAGAGGGTAGGCCGCGTCCCCGACAATTTGGTATGGGGCTATGTCCCCGTTGTGTAACCTCTCAAGTAGTGCAGACTCTTTGAAAACCCGCATGTCGTGCGCGCTACCGGGATAGCCGATCAGGTAGTCCCATATCCTGCCTCGTGCATCACACGTGAGCTGGAGTTGTACGGCATAGGCCGACTTCCTTGTCCAGTACTCCGCTCTGTGACCTTCCATCCCTTTCATGTGGATATGAGTCCCGTCCACAGCCCCCACCACAGCAGGTACACCTTTGATGGCAGCAAATTCCCGTGCCATCTCGGGAAGCTCTTCGCGTGTGGGGAAGCGCACTCAGGCGGCCTTGAAGATTGAGGGGAACTCAGTGAGGAACACGTCGACAACCTCGTGGCAAAGTGTCTTGGAGACGCCGAACAGGTACGACATGTCGACGTAGGAGATTCCTGACGCCAGGTACTTGATAGGGATGAGCACCGCGGTGTCCATTGTGAGTATTGACCGGTGCACTATTGGCTCCAGATAGAGTTGCATCCCGGTTTTGATATGCTCAAGTATGGCACGGTTTATCCTGAAAAAGGTCTTGGAAATCGTTCTCCCGCATGTGCTGCAGGTCTTCAACCCACAATGCATGACCAGGCCCCTAGATTCGTTTTGAGGTAGTCTGAGGCCTCAGAGTACACCCCTCTTGGAACTCTGTCTGTCAGAGGTGCCTCAAGATTTTAGTCTGAAAATTCAGACAAACACATTTTTTTTTGTCTGAACTGTCAGAGTTACTTCAAATTTTAAGATGTTCATGCAGTTTCGTAAAAGCAGTTATAATAGCATTGAGGCTGATTACAGCCTACCATACCAACGCATCAGGCAACGTGCTCGTGCTCGTGCATCGCCTTTGCTCATGTCGGCGGCATTCCAGTGTTTTTGTCACGTGCAGCGCATGGTTGTTTCTGCTCTGCTGATCTCATTTCGTTTTGTCGTGTGTGTGATTACCGTTCTGTACCCATTTTCCTCGCATGTGTGCCGATTTTGTCAGTTTTGGATTTGTTTTTCAAGCGATTCGATCGTTCACCCGATCTGTATCAGGTGGGCCAAGTGCCACGCAGCTGAGGCTGGCAGCAGGCAGAAACTGTTGCTTGGCGTGGCATGTGAGGATCAAACAGTGCCACACGAAACTTTCAGTACGAATCAGGAACTTCGCAATTCACACCAGTGCGTGCTGCAGATGTTTTTACAGCGAATCAGCATCAAAGTCGCCTATTCTTTACAATACATTAGCGATAACTTACATGTGACGAGATTTTGTCTTCAGAAATCTCGTAATCACGCAACCATTTCCTCAGCGTAACTGGAAGATATTCTCGACGAACGAGTGTATTTAGATGTCCCAGCTGTCGAAGTGAGCGTTGCTCACGTCCTGGCACTCCACTGCCATCTCGGAAGTGGGCATATCGGAAGGAAACTTCCAGGAAACTTTGAACCGATAAGCGCGCAGAGTGTACCCCCGATACAAGTCTGAGGCTCAGCCTACCCTAGTAAAATTAGGCTGAAATTTCAGACAACTCATAAGAAAAAACTCTGGAAAATCAGACAAGGTACATAAATAAATTCTTTGAGTTCAGACTAGGTACAAAAAAAAAGTCTGAACGGACTCTGATTCAGACTCCAAAGTCTGATATCTAGGGCACTGTGCATGACGTCGCCGCCGTACTCTCGCTCTGTGACGGCGGTTCTCCCCGTAATCGTCCCCGAGCGATGAGGACTGCTCGTCAGCGTCCTCGAACACTCCCGACTCTATCAGGCCTACGAAGGACTTCGCGACGTTTTCGTAGAAAACGGTGTAGTAGTAGGTGACCCATGCGACGAGGAGGCGTAGGATGAAGGGGATGGTTTTAGGCTCTGCCATGGTGTGTGGGTTATGAATGCGTAGTTATGTAGTATGTGCATACTTCGATTAAAACCGAAATATAAAATAGTGAAGGCGGATCCAACTTGAAATCGTGCTCGGAAGAAGCAAAACTGGAACGACGATGGGCTGTGTAAAACACTGTTCCGGGCATCGCCCTTCCACAGACTGAACACACGTGATTCGTTCCCGCCAAAAAAAAAAAAAACAGATCGTGCTCGCGCGTTCGCATTTTCTGCATGCGACATTTGCACGACAGTTGTTTGTCGTGCGTTTTGATGGTTGGACCCGACTTCGACTTTCAAGCTGGGCCTGGGTTCCACATATGCTTACTTCAACTCCATTCACGTAGCTTGCCTAACTCACGGAGCTTGCCTAGCATAGAATAGCCAGAGACGAGGGATTAGGCTGATGCGGCATAGAAATGAAATTATCATTAGATTGTTTGTGATACTTCGTCGCCGTTGCTGCGTAGTGATATTTTCCTCGCGATCACAGAGAACCCCATTCCCGTCGCCATTCCTCTCACCCCTCTCATCGCCCACTATGCTATCCTCGAGTTCGCCAAATCGCCCACCCGTCTCCCTTTCCGTCGCGCGTCACGTCGCCATCTCGTCGCCCGTCCCGTCGCCCTCTTCGTCGCCCTCTCTCCCCTCCTCTCCTCCCGTCGGCCTCTCTCTCGCCCCTCCCTACCGATCGCCCTCCCGTCGCTCGCCCCGTCGCGCTCCTCTCTCTCCGCTCCCTTCCCGTCGCCCTCTCTCTCGCCCCTCCCTTCCCGTCGCGCTCTCTCTCTCCGCGCCCTTCCCGTCGCCCTCTCTCTCGCCCCTCCCTTCCCATCGCTCTCTCTCTCTCTCCGCTCCGCCCTCTCTCCTCGCTCCTCCTTCGAATCGCGCTCTCTCTCCGCTCCCTTCCCGTCGGCCTCTCTCTCCGCTCCCTTCCCGTCGCGCTCTCTCTCTCCGCTCCCTTCCCCTCGCCCTCTCTCTCGCCCCTCCCTTCCCGTCGCGCTCTCTCTCTCTGCTCCCTTCTCGTCGCCCTCTCTCTCGCCCCTCCCTTCCCGTCGCGCTCTCTCTCTCCGCTCCCGTCCCATCGCCCTCTCTCTCGCCCCTCCCTTCCCGTCGTGATCTCTCTCTCCGCTCCCTTCCCGTCGCCCTCTCTCTCGCCCCTCCTACCCGTCGCGCTCTCTCTCTCCGCGCCCTTCCCGTCGCCCTCTCTCTCGCCCCTCCCTTCCCATCGCGTTCTCTCTCTCCGCTCCGCCCTCTCTCTCGCTCCTCCCTTCGAATCGCGCTCTCTCTCCGCTCCCTTCCCGTTGCGCTCTCTCTCTCCGCTCCCTTCCCATTGCCCTCTCTCTTTCTGCTCCCTTCCCATCCTCCCTTCTCGCTCGCCTCGAATAGCCCTCCCGGCGACCTTCGACTCTCCCATCACGTATGCCCTCCTTTCTCCGTCGCCTCTCTCGTTCTCCCTCTGCTATCGCGTCAGCGTGACCCATTCCGTACTCTGTTATTGTGTTTGGTTTGTTTGTTTTTTCTGTCTTTCCATCTATTCTCGACACCCTCTCTCTCCGCCGCCTATCCTCTCTCCCGTCGCCCTCCCGTTTCCCGTCGCCCTCCCCGTTTCCCGCCCCCCTCCCGTTTCCCGTCGCCCTCCCTTTTCCCGTCGCCCTCCCGTTTCCCGTCGCCCTCGCGTTTCCCGTCGCCCTCCCGTTTCCCGTCGCCCTCCGTTTCCCGTTGCCCTCCCTTCTTCCGTCGCCCTCCCTTTTCCCGTCGCCCTCGCGTTTCCCGTCGCCCTCCCGTTTCCCGTCGCCCTCCCGTTTTTCCGTCGCCCTCCCGTTTCCCCGTCGCCCTCCCGTTTCCCGTCGCCCTCGCGCGTTTCCCGTCGCCCTCCCGTTTCCCGTCGCCCTCCCGTTTCCCGTCGCCCCCCTTCTTCCGTCGCCCTCCCCCTTTCCTACGCCCTCCCTTCCAGTCGCCCTCCCGTTTCCCGTCGCCCTCCCTCTTTCTCTTCATTCGCGTCACCTTGCCCATCATAATTTCCCCCCTATTACTTTTTTTCTCTTCTGTTTCCCGTTATTGCACCTCTCCCAGGCCTCAAGTCCAAGGCAGCACATTGATCAGATCTCTACTAGCTCTAATAACGTTCAAACACTTTCACTCTCATCACGTACATGTGTGTCTGCTTGGGATTTAGCGTGAGATGTTCCTAGTTGTGAATTTGGTGAAGTATTGGCTCTAGTGAATGCAGTGTCAGAGGTCCACTGGTGATCCCCGATTGATCCTAGGGAAGGGTTACAGGCACGTTGGCCTGGGGGGTTATGGGCGCACTGACCCGCTACTTAAACAAGCCCTTTTATCCCAATGGTCTAGTGGTTGGGATTCTGACATGGTATCAGAGCGAAGGTCTCGGGTTCGAATCCCGATGTATGCACTTCGGGCATCCCAGTGCGGGGGGGTGTCAGAGGTCCACTGGTGATCCCCGATTGATCCTAGGGAAGGGTTACAGGCACGTTGGCCTGGGGGGTTATGGGCGCACTGACCCGCTACTTAAACAAGCCCTTTTATCCCAATGGTCTAGTGGTTGGGATTCTGACATGGTATCAGAGCGAAGGTCTCGGGTTCGAATCCCGATGTATGCACTTCGGGCATCCCAGTGCGGGGGGGGTGTCAGAGGTCCACTGGTGATCCCCGATTGATCCTAGGGAAGGGTTACAGGCACGTTGGCCTGGGGGGTTATGGGCGCACTGACCCGCTACTTAAACAAGCCCTTTTATCCCAATGGTCTAGTGTGTGAATTAAGAAAACAGGAATGAAAATGACTAAGTGAAAGTTGGGTACAAAAAGCAAACCCTAGACAACTGTACCCCATATGTGCTACCCCACTATAGCCTACAGTAGCTATGTCATATAAATCTGACACACCCCCATAGGCAAAGTGGGGGAGAACAAGGGGTCACAAGACCAGTCAAGCAAAGCAAAACAAGCTCAGGGTGGATCACAAAGTCACCACACATTCCGAGCACAAGTTCAAGGCCACAAGGCCAGTTCACATACAGGATTGCATATACATATATATAAGACTAGACAAGCAAAGAGCAGGGGTATATATATATGCAACAGTACAAACAAGGTCAAGGGGTGAGCAAGTGAGGCAAGGTAGGCACAAGACCAAGCTGAGTACAGAAGCGCTGATGATCACAAGGCGCAAGTGCCTTGGTGAAGATATCAGCAGTGTTGGCCTCAGAGGCCACGTACGCAAGCCGCAGCTGACCACGCTGCTGTAGCTCACGAGCAAGGAAGTAGCGGAGAGCAATGTGCTTCGTTCTGTGTTCCAGTCTCTGCTCTCGACACAAGGCCAGCATGGCCTTGTTGTCTACGTACAGCACTGGAGGAGAACGAGGCGGCTCTCCGAGGTCAGTCAGCAGGTAGGTGAGCCAGCGAAGCTCCTGTGCAGCCATGGCCCCGGCGTAGATCTCAGCCTCACAACTGGAGCCGAGAACAGAAGACGAGCGGGTAGCCCGCCACGAAACAGAGCCGGAACCAAGGCTGAAGGTGTAACCCTGTGACGACCGCTGCGTAGCCTGGTCGTCAGCCCAAGAAGCGTCTGCGTGCCCAGTGAGGACCACTGGACTCTGCCCTCCAAGCACAAGCCCCATGCCCGACGTACTGCACAAGTAGCGCAACACCCTCTTCGCTGCAGCCATGTGCTCCGGTCTGTGTCTCCCAGGAGCAACATAGCGTGCAAGAATGCTAAGAGGGTATGCAAGGTCAGGTCGTGTGCAGGTCATCAGGTACATGAGGCAGCCAACAAGCTCTGGGTACGGACCACTCGACTCTACGGACTCATCCGAAGGCAGAGCTGAGAGCGAGTGGCGAGTAGGCAGAGGAGTGGCCTGAGGCGAGGAGTACGTGAAGCCGAAGCGCTGAAGGACCTGCTGCACCATGTGTGACTGAGTCAGGGTAATGGTGCGGCGTGCTCTGTCCCGGGTGATCTGCAAGCCAAGGTAGCTGCGCAGTTCACCCAGGTCTGTGCACGTGTGTCTCTTCTTCTGCAGCTCGGACTTCACGTAGGCGAGTCCAGCAGTGTCAGCTGTGGCAAAAGACCAAGTCGTCGACGTACACGAGGATGTAGAACGGCGGCAGAGAGGTGTCGGTGCGTAGAAACAGCGACGGGTCGGCAGTAGAAGGAGCAAACCCAAGAGCCGCAAGTGTAGTCCTCAGTGTGTCGTGCCACTCACGGGGCGCCTGGCGGAGACCGTAGACTGGACGCCGGAGACTCCACTGGGTACCAGAAGGGAAAGACCCAGTGAAGCCAGGTGGGCGACGCAGCCAGATCTCCTCGTGCAGGCTGCCCTGCAAGAAAGCTGTGCTGAAGTCAAAAAGAGTGCAGCTCGTAGTCACGGTGAGCAGCAACGTGCAGCAGTACCCGAAGAGTGGTCATCTTCGGGGTGGGGGAGAAGGTCTGAAAGTAGTCAACTCCCTGCCGCTGACTGAAGCCACGAGCCACGTAACGCGCCTTGAAGACAGGCGGAGAACCCGGCGGCCGCTTCACCCTGAAGATCCACATGCCACTGACGATGTTCGCCCCAGGCGGGGGAACCTCGTCAACGTAGGTGCCTGTGGACTTCCAGGAAGCCATCTCTGTGTCCATAGCTGCCTGCCACTGAGAGGAGTAGGGACCCTATATCGCCTCCGCGTAAGAGCGCGGAGTCGGGATGTCAAGTGCATCCGGGTCTCCCTCAGGGTAAGCAGTACGGATACGAGATGAGGTGAAGCAGCAGCCAAACACTGGAACTCCTCCTGCCTGTCCTCAAGGACGTCCGTGCCAAGGGCACACTCACCCCCGACGGACGGAGGACAGACAGACTCAGACTCAGCAACAAGACGAGCAGCGTAGTCTAGACGACAGCGAGCAGCAAAGTCGACGAGCTCAGTAACTAGGGCAGACGCAGCAGTGGACTCAAAGGAAGGGTCAGTGACAACAGTAGCAAGGAGACGCGTGACAGTAGGACTGGCAGCACGAAGAGAGTCCGACTCCGGGTCAGGAAGAGCAGGAAGAGAGGACTCAGGAGGAGAAGGAAAAGGGGCACGCAGAGGAGCAGTGGACGGACGCAGAGACATCCGGTGCGTGCCAGGGACAGGAGGAGGACGCTGACGCGAACCACGACCACTAGTGCGAGCAGCACGGACAGGCGACGCAGGGCGAGACGCTGGCTCACGACGCTCAGCAAGACCTCCAGTAGGACCAGTGTAGGGAGAAGGAGCAGGCAGTGGGGAGGCCGGCTGTAACTGTAACTGTGACGGGACAGGCTGTGGACACTCTAAGGGAGGAGGAGGACCAGTAGAAGGCGGGAGACCAAGAACCTGCTGAAGGAGCGGAACGAAGTACGGTCGAGGGCCGCGCGGCGACTCCAGACACAGCAGGGACAGCACCAGTACCCCCAGCGGCAGCACAGCACCAGCAGCACCTCCAGCTCCAGTACCTCCAGCAGCACCAGTAGCACCCCCAGCAGGACCGCCTCCAGGACCGACAGCAGTAGCCTCAGCGCCAACACCCTCAGCAGCTCCAGCTCCAGTCGTACCCGCAGGCCCAGCAGCTCCAGTACTCCCAGTACGAGCACCTCCGGGACTGGCGGCACCAGCACCCTCAGCAGCCGAAGAACCTCCAGATCCAGCAGCACGCCTCCAGCGCCGGGCAAACCACTCGCGCAGCTCCTGTGGAGAGAGTGGCTCCCGCCGAGACGAAGCACCCGGAGAACCTCCAGGCTCAGCACCGCCAGACGCCACACGAGCAGGCCCAGCTCCCTCAGGCTCCGCACCCCCAAGCTCAGCACCTCCAGGCGTGGCACCCCCAGGCTCAGCACCCCCAGGCGTAGCACCCCCAGGCTCAGCACACCCAGGCTCAGCACCCCCAGGCTCAGGACCCCCAGTAGTAGCACCCTCAGGCTCAGCACCCCCAGAGTCAGCACCCCCAGGCTCAGCACCCTCAGCAGCACCAGAGTCACCAGTAACCTCGACAAGGCTCGACTGCGTCTACCTGGGACACACCTGAAGGGGCAGGACCCTGAGGGGGGAGGGGGTCTACCGGGGGGGGACCTGGTACAAGGAAGAGCGGTGGCGGGGGGAGGGACGGAGTGCGGTAGGGGAAGAGGCGGTAGTAGGGGACCGACTCGTCAAACGTGACGTCCTGGGAGGACAGAACACGGCGAGAGGTGGGGTGGTAGAACTGCCACCCTGGCGCGTCAGGGGGGAAGCCAAGGAAGACGCAAGGAGCAGCACGAGGGGTACAGCTTGTCCGCAGACAAGTCACGGACAAACGCCCGAGATCCCCAGACACGGAACGCAGACGCATCGCCAACCTTCCCCGTCCACAGCAAGGCTGGGGAGGTCTCCGGCATGGAGACCCTGGTGTGAAGGTTGATCTGATGCGCCGCGTACCGAACCGCAAACGGCCACAGAAAATGGGGGGGCAGCCGCATGCATCATGGACGGTACGGGCGACGTCCATGACCATGCCAATGCGGCGCTCAGCAATCCCATTTTGCTGTGGAGAGTCCGGAAGCGTGAAGGTCTGGCGGATACCTCGTGCACGACAGTAGGCTCGCAGAAGGCCAGAGGAGAACTCTCCACCTCTGTCAGAGTGCAGACGCTGAACAGGAAAGTCCGAGCTGAAGCTCTGCCTGAGCTGGAGACGAGCTGCGCGGATCCAGTCGATCAACACCTCAGTGACATCGCCCTTGCTGCGCAAGGGGAAGACTGTGGTGTAACGCGAGTAGTCGTCAACCACCAGCAGGAAGTAGCGCTCGTGACCCTGTCCACGGACGCGGGCCGGGGCCCCACACATCCATGTGAAGCGTCTGCAGCGGGGCCTCTGTCGGAGGAAACTGGGAGGAGTGAGGGGGCAGCCCGCTGCCGCCCCTCGACATAGGGGACGCAGGCAGGGCCAGGCCCCGGAGGAAGGGGAGGGAGGGACCGGGGAAGACCAGAGACAAGGACACGGGAGGCCATGCCTCGGAGACGAAGCAAGGAGGGGTGACCAAGGCGGTGGTGCCAGAGGAGAGTCTCGTGAGACAGGAGGCGACACGAACAGGGGGCAGACTCAGGACCAGATCTGGAC